TCTTTCTTTCTTTCTTTCTTTCTTTCTTTCTTTCTTTCTTTCTTTCTGTCTGTCTGTCTGTCTGTCTGTCTGTCTTCTCGATCCTTGCTTTATATGCACTTGTTCTTAAGGCTTGTTCTTGTTCTCAATAAGCCTTCCTGGTATACTAGTCTCAGGGGATCTTATTTATTGTCCTTCAGATAGTCTTCCAATATTTTTTATTCTTTTCTTCAACTGTTTGGGGTACTTGCAACATTCCACATCCACCTGTGCTCCTTTGTAAGTAGAGTCCATCCACATTGCTGTGTGGAGGAAGGGCATGATTCATTTTGATTATTTTTCTGATCTTCCTATGGAAGGCTTTTAGTTCTGTTTGACTCCAGTCCACTATTCCAGCTATACATATAATAACTGGATTTGCCCAGATATTAATTGCTTTATATTTCCTCTGCTGAGTTTGGGATGATGATGATGATGATATTCTGCCTTTTTATATATTTTGAACAGTTCAAGGCAGCAAAAATACCTAATATTCTTGCCTTGTATTTACCTCACAATAACAACAAAGTGACTATGGGTTGGGCCAAGACTGTGAACTGGCTCAAATTCACTAATCAGCTTCTGATGTCAAAGGAAGGCCTAAAACTCACAGTCTCCAGGTTTCTAGGCCAGGATTAGCACTATAGCAAATTGGCTTTTTTTGAAAATTTAAGGAACAATATGTATTGATTTGTTGATTTTCATCAAACTTTGTCAGCACTAGAGAGCACAATAAAATATAATTGATTGTGAGTTAAGTATATCAGTTTAACAAGTTGATTTTGTGATAATGTTAGCTTGAAACACATATGGCAGATTACTGAAAAACATGCTATGGTGTATTTTCTTTGTCTTTGCAGCTTCAGACCAGTTTGACTGAACCAATGACGTTACCTAAGTCAATCTCACTTCCTCGTAGTGCATACTGGCATCACATCACTCGGCAGAACAGTGTGGGAGAAATATATAGTTTACAAGGTAAGATGCTTGAACAGTGAAATGGTATGTCTTTTAGGTTCCCCTCATAAATTGCTTTCATCTGCACTGATTATTTTCTTACCATTTAATTCCTAGGGCAGATTTGTTTGTAACTCTGGATAAAAGATGGCTACTAGGAAATTATTTTTCTGTAAATGTACACCTCAGATAAGACAATGTTTTATTTTGACAAAGAAGAAATCTCAGTTGGTTTTTGATCAAAAACATCCAGAAAATAATGCTGTTTGTGTTTGAAAAATGAGAGAAATATAGGCAGATATGCAGCTTCTTCTACATATCTGTATGTGTCTTCATTCACCCATGCCAGATAAAGGTCAAAATTATAAGTTGGACTGGACATAAGGTCCAGTTTAATTACTGAAATTATTATAATTTTATGTCTGCCTGTGCTCTCCTCCACTCTTCTGGTTACTTTGATATTATCTTTTGCCTTTATCATCCTATCGGTCTATTATCTGAGTTCACAGAACCACACATGTGTGATTACGAACTTACCAACTTACCAACCAACAATAAAAAATATTATAGTTGATAACACCTCCAAACAATATACTTACGGTATACTGTCCATGGTATATTAATAAGTGAGAATGTTTATATGTATATAAATCGAAGTACAGAGATTGAGAGTTAATATATTGTTAATTCTCATTTGAGATGGCTTTTTGCTGATGTCTTGTAGTAAAAAAAAATGAAATTACAGTGTTTCAAGAGAGTGATGGACTGTCAGAAGCAATGTCTTTAGGTCAGATTCTCTTCCCGTACAGAACTACACAGTCTTAAATCATCAGAGACATTCATAATTTGATGAAATAAAAACAAACCATGAAGAATTAAATGCTTAAATGGTCAATTAAATGCTTAAATGGTCATAAGTCACTTTTTTCAGTGCCATTGTAACTTCGAATGGTCACTAAGTAAGCTGTTATATGTTGAGGACTACCCATAATCCATTAAATGCAGATACGATTCTTAAGCCTGGTTGTTAAGAAACATCAAGAAAAAAAACTCTTAAAATAATTATCAATCAATGCAATTATTTGGTGGAAATTATATTATTGTATTCTTGGCAGTTGCTAATTAATAAAACTCTTTCCAAATTCTATCTAGTGTGTTTCCTAAAAAACCTAGTTGATAGCAATGATTAACAACTCAACACTGAACTGAAATCATTGATCTAAGAGATAGTGGAAAAAATCCTGAATGCACTTAGTGACTGCAGTTAGAACCAGCAACTCAGTTGCTAAGCAATTTGCTTGAAAAGTGAAATATCATACAATTGCATCCAACTTACAACATCAGTTCCAGCTGTGGTTTTAAAGCCTGATGTCAACTGTGATTGTTAAGCATGGTATTAAGTGGCTCAACTTGCAACTTTTTGCCAGCTTCCTGCTTGACCTTGCCTGTCTCTAGTTGACTGTGAAGATCACAAATGGTGATCATGTGACCATAGCATCCTGTGACAGTTGTAAGTACTCACTAGTTACCAGATGTCCAAATATTGATCACATACCTGTGGGGTTGTTGCAACAACTACAAGATCAGAAATCTTTTTTTCCAGTACTGTTGTGCTTTTGGCTGCTGATTTGAGCAGTCAGTAAATGCAGAGTACTGCATTGATGAATGATGGGGCTCTTGCTGCTCTCTTATATATTTCTTGTCTTATATATATCTTATATATTAGCACATTGTTCATTAAAATCTGAAATAAATAGTCAGATGGGGAAAAAATTCAAAACTATAATCTGGAAATTATGTGCATGATTCTTACAGGTGTTTTCAAATGGTGTTCAGACTTTTTAAAAAGTTTTGATTTAGTTTTTAATGGTATGTATCATGAGGACACAGTGGCTCAGTGGCTAAGATGCTGAGCTTGTCGATCAGAAAGATTGGCAGTTTGGCAGTTTGAATCCCTAGTGCCGCATAACAGAATGAGCTCCCGTTACTTGCCCCAGCTTCTGCCAACCTAGCAGTTTGAAAGCATGTAAAAAAAATGCAAGTAGAAAAATAGGGATCACCTTTGGTGGGAAGATAATAGCTCTCTGTGCATCTTTGGCGTTTAGTCATGCTGGCCACATGACCATGAAATCGTCATCAGGCAGCCTCTTTGGCTTAGAAACTGAGATGAGCACCTCCCCCTAGAGTCAGGAATGACTAGCATGTATGTGCAAAGGGAACCTTTATCATTGTTCAGTGCTTAAGATAGTATTACCATTCTAGTTATTAATTTATTGCTGTATGTTTCAAAAGTAATTAAGAACAAATACTCTTAATATTTTACCAATACACATAAGGTATTTTACCATTGAGGAACAAAAAAGACAATTATTATTTCATTCAAAACAAAATACACAGAGATTAGCAGCAAAATAAAATGCATTGCCCATTAAAAGAATTTTTCTGAGTCATTCTACTCAGCTGGTTTTTTTATGGAGTTTTTTAGGTTAATCCTGCAGGCATTTCCTTTGTGCCCATGTAACTATCTGCAAATTAAAGTATGTTAAAAGAAATTGCTGGGGCATTCATCATTTTGGCATATCCACAGTTACGTTCATATTTAAATAAGTCTCCTAAGTGTATTCTTTCATCTCACTATGAACTGAAACAATGAAAAGAATATAAAATATATTGCACTATGGCTTCGTTTAGAAGGCAAGATGAACCACAGCTTACCATGATAGTAATAAACTACAGTGAACCTCTGCATACAGATGTATGCAATGGCATACATTGTGCTGCCTTCAATAGTGATCATATTGTGCCCAGGATAAATTAAGAAATGTGTTTTTTTTTCCCCTTCCAATCATTTGCCAGCAAGAAAAAGAACATCAATAGTTACATTTACAAGTGTTGGGACAAGGATAGGCAAATATAGGAAGATGTTAAGAATAGCACATATAGTCCCTATCAAGTTGCCTAAGTAACATGGTTCATATGCTTCTTGCCTGTTTCATGTCACATCCTCTTCTGAAAGTGTGCTAAATTGTGTCCAAAAATAGCCTGGTTGGCAAGTCACAGGCTGAAATGGGAAGGGGTAAGCAATTATAGGCCACATTGTAAGAGAACAGCAATGCTGTTGAGAAGCCATAGCCAATAGTACCCAGATATAGTAGCAATCATTTTATAAGCACATGATGTAATTTACTATGTTTTGTTACATAATTTAATATGCAGTACATATATAGAATGAAATAATGGCTACAGTCAATATAACTGATGTGATAGGAAGAGGTAGAGTCAAAATGGCTAGGTAGGAGTTAGCCAGACTGGCATAGGAATAGTCATATAACAAAACTTTTGAAAAAAATATGCCCTGTAAAACTTGTGGTGTATTAATTGAGGCCAAATCAACATTGCACACTAGGTAAAAGTCACCTTTCCTTTCCTGTTCAAATCAGAATTCTGTCCAGAACAGGACTAGTGGCCTCTCAAGACAGTGTTACAGGTAGTCCTCAATTAATAACTAGTCACTTAGTGACTGTTCAAAGGTAAAACAGGCCTCTCCAGAGGCCTCTCCGTGACCCTTTTTGAAGTTCTGACACCTGCACCTTCCCATAGTCATGTGATTACATTCTGGGTGCTTGGCAGCCAGCTTATATTTATAGCCATGTGCAGCCTCACATAGTCGCATGATTGCAACTTTCAGCATTTGTTGTCCATTTCCAGCATTTACTTCAACTTTCTGGCAAAAGACCCTCATTTGGGAAAAGAGACTTGCTTGACTATCGTGATGTTTTCTTAACAACCCCAGCATTTGCATAACGACCAACACAAAAAATTGACTATGGACAAAAGTGCCACAACCCATGATCATAATTTCAAGCTCAGTTACAGTCATAAGCCAAATTCTACCTGTAAAACCATGTTTAAAAAAACATTTCTGGTACTCTTTCAAACACGTGGTAAATCTCTTTGTATAAGGAGCTCACAAGACCAACTACCACTCTGGAAAGTTCTGTTCCGAAATAATTCAGGCAGTTGTTTCTGCAAAATTTCTTGATATCTAGAAATATATCTAATATTTCTGTAGGTTATGAAAGGGTAAGAGCCAGTGGATGGAACAGAAGAGACTCAACCACTATAGTCTAAAGTGGATAATGTCAACCACACTGTCAATTTAGCATCCTAAACTGTAGTCATGGCAGAAAGTATGTTAGGAGAATAGACAGAACTATTAAACTGGAACCGTTATATGTCTTTAAATTTCCTGAACTGTAGGTTAGGGATGAAACAGGTAATGGCATTGATTCCTTCTGTCATTCATTCATTTGCAATTCGTATCTGCCGTAGATGGTAGAATGTTATGTTCTCCTTGTATTTCCATATTTGCTTTAATAAAGAACCTTATTTGGGGGGGGGGGATGGAAACCAAATAAAAAATAAACTTACTAACAATATCAGGAAAACCCCATGGAAATTGTTGAGTGTTCATGGTCCCTTTCTCAATAGCATCTCACAGCATGATGTTGTCCTAAACCTTCGTTTGCTACCATCCAAAAAAAAAAAAAAAAATTCCAGAGAGCCAGCACATGCTGTTGCATTAAAAGCCAACAATATAACATAATATTCTTGGACAGCGGGAGACCATTATCTCTCTGAAAACATTTTTTTTTTCAGTTTTGTATCACTTCATTTACTGATGCTAATAGCCAACTAAAAATTATTCCTTCCCTGTTGTAGCTTTAATAAAAATCTTTTGATCTTTTGCAGTCATGCATTTCTGTATATACATTCTGTTAAAAGAAAACTTACAGCTTCCATATAATAAACAAGATCTCCAAATGGGCTGTTAACTTGGTTTTAAGTGGGGTTTTTTTTAAAAAAAAAAAGATAAAGGAGCAAAAAGAAACAAAAGATTCATTTATCCTTCTAATTGCCAGAAAGATTTTTTTTTTTTTGAGAAGTTACACTCTGCCTTTCTTTTCCTCCAAACACTCTTTCGAGTGTTTTTGTGGTTTTGCAATCTACTTTTTCCTTTT